AAGAAAGAAAGAAAGAAAGAAAGAAAGAAAGAAAGAAAGAAAGAAAGGAAGGAAGGAAGGAAGGAAGAGAAAGGAAGGAAGGAAGAAAGAAAGGAAGGAACGAAGAAAGGAAAGAAAGAAGAAAGAAAAAAGAAAGGAAGGAAGGAAAGAGGAAGGAAGGAGGAGGAAGGAAGGAAGGAAGAGAGAAAGGAAGAAAGAGATAGAGAAAGAAAGAGAGAGAGGGAGGGAGGGAAAGAGAGAGAAAGAAAGAAAGAAAGAGGAAGGAAGGGAAGAAAGGAAAGAAGGAGAAAGAAAGGCAATAAAAGCTACTTCTTACTCAGTGTCTCAACTATGCAAAATGGAGAAATATTTAGCACGCAATTATTCTGCTCATAGATGTGTGCTGCCCTATGGCCCAGTCATCCCATCTACACCAAGCAAGAAAGAAAACTAGGGAAACCGAGCGACTGGAAAGGAAAAGAAGCCCTTACAGTCTGCTCTGTATTTCCTGCTGGTTTAAAAGTCAAAGATTTCAACACAGCTCCTAAGATGCTAAAATCCTCTTATCTCAAAAACAGGTTTTAAAAAACAACAAATGGTTTGGGCCAGAATGCATGTAATCTTTGGGTTTGCCTATATCCTCTTCTCTCAAGTAAACCTGAACAGGGCCTCTCCAAACCACTTTATACTTTTGTTTACAAAAGATAATTCAAGAGAAGTAAGCCAGATCTCATATCCTTTTTTGACAAGGTCTTACTATGCATCCCTGGCTAGACTGGAACTCTATGTAGACCAGGCTGGTCTAGAACTCACAGAGATCTGCCTTTCTCTGCTTCCCAAGTATTAGGATTAAGTGTTGGCATGTACTGCCACTCTCAGCTAATTTTCACTTGATTTTAAAAATTAATTTGTAAACACTGCTTAATCTTTTTAAAGAGATTTCTTGGAGGAAAGGTATCTGGAAAGACTGCTGTACAGATCAGAACGTCGATGGTTCTCAGAAGCTGATGTTGCAGGTCCAGAGGCTGATCCCCTTAGCTCAGGCTTTAAGCCCCTGTGTATGAACTAATAGCACGTAACTACTGAATAACAATATTCTGGAATCTATTAATGTAGCAGACCATCAGCTTCCACCAACCCAAAGCCAAGAGTATCACCAGATGGAATATGAAGCCTACAGAAAAGCTTCCCCCATCTTGTAACTGCCGCCTTAATGACCCCATCATTGTATTTTAAACTTGCTTTGATTTATGACTTCCTTTGCTCTGTAAATGATAAAACTTCATGACACTACTTCCACACTGGAACATTTTATTTGAGGTAACATAAATATGTTCCTGGGACATGATCACTGAAATTTGGCTCTAGAATAAAGTACTTTTTATTTGCTTTAAGCTAAGAGCTTGTTTTCACACCAACAATCTTCAAGCCTGGTAAACTACATCCTTTGAGAAATGTAACTTCAAGAGCCACAAATTCATATAGATACAGGCTGTTACTAGCTGTTCTCTCTCTCTCTCTTTCACTCTCTCTCTTTCTCTTTGTGCTCTTGAGTGTTTTCTGCCTTTTAATTCTTTAACTGCCAGAGAAAACTAACCTGATCAAGACCCTAAATAGTAACATAAGCACAATAAGGAACTGCAGATGACTTCCCCAGTCAGTTTCTGCTAATATTCATAAACCCTCAATTTGATGCTACTTGTTTGTTCTCTCAATCAGGCTACTCCAATCATTCCTGCTGAATATTGAGAGCATCTGATTCACTGTTTTGCTTTCTATTGCTTCTTCTAGCTGCTACTTACTATTTATTCTTTTATGTTTGCTTGCTAGCCTCTATAAATTCACTCACTCAAAACTGAAAGCACTACAATAATAGATATTCTCCAGACGGTATGGAACACTAACTCTGTTCCTTCCTCATTCTGAAATTCTTCTTTTTTGTTTGAAGCCTTTACATAAGTGGCAGTCCCTAAGGGTAGAATTTTTCAGACCACTTGTTCATCTGAATCTCCCCTACTGTACTAACACATTTTATTGGGAAAACAACATACCGTTATTTTCCTTTTATGCCTCTATATGGAAACTCTTACTAGATCAACAAGTCAAAAGTAGTTCAGGCTGGGGTGCGCCTCAATGGCGCATGGGTTCAATACCCATTTGCCACCACCAACAAAAAAGCAGGAATTCTGCTTCTTACTCGGCAGTTATCTTTCTGTGAAGCCATGAAAACATCATTTGGCTTCTGTGGACCTCTGTGAGCCCATGAAAACATCATTTGACTTCTGTGGGTCTCTGCTGGGCTATGAAAACATCATTTGACTTCTGTGGGCCTCCACCTGTATATTACAGAGGTAGGAAAAGTTCGAGACAGCTGCCTTTTGTGAGGACCAACTGAGAGAATGCAACAGAACACTTTTTAAGTGTGCACAGAAGGTATAAACAGAGATATTATTCTCTGTGCTTCCACCACTGTTATCTCTCAGTGACCAGTTTATTTGCAAATGTTTATTCTTCCTAAAATAGGGAATATGGAAGGCACAGTGACTATGA